TGTATATGTGACAACTTTTTTTTTAAAATGATGAATTTGCACAGCAAGATGTTTAAATTCTAGAAATGCTTTAAACTATTATTACAATGCAACGTTAATAAGATTCAGCCATCTAATAAACTTTTATCTATTAATCACAATAAATCAACGATGAAAAGGGTTATGTTTAAACAGAAGACGTTTCGTGCTGGCTCGCTTCCATCAACTAGTATACGTAAATTTTTCTTATAAATAGTTGGTAGCAACACATTTCTGCTAAATTCAGCCTTACATATATATATTCTTCTTCATGGCAATAATGTTCAATTTAGAAAGGAATTTATACTTCGGTTATGCTATAAATGAATTCATAATAAGGTCTCAAAAGTAAAATTTGGGATTTCATAGATTGCTTGAAAGCGGATATTGAAATTTTACATTTAGTAAATAATTTTAAATTTCTTCTGCTCTTATTTATAAGCGAAGATTACTAATTAATCGAGTTTGATTTGATTAGATTTAACTAATATACTAACAACGAATAATTCTAAATTGCTTTTAAAATGCTCTTAAAAAGATGTATTCATAATAATAAGAAATATAACAAAGTATCTCATTGATATTCTTGAATTTTAGGCATTTTATGGTTTTTGTTGATAATCTTTCACCATCTCTATAAATGTACTCTTTCCGTCACTATAATAATTAGTTTCTAAATCTTCAACTACCTTCATTTCTCCTTGGGCCAATAAATGAATCATCTCAAATTTATATGAAGATAAAATAGTTCTGGGGTTATATAATTAATATGAAAATTATTTTTTATATAAAACCATCTCACTAATTAAATTGGTAGGTCAAAAATTTTATTAAAGATATCTTTCAATATGGTCGTAAATCATTTCCTTTCCATATGTATAAAAGAGAGAAATAATTTTTAGTTTCCAAAAGAAAAAATTGAATTTTGACCAAATATCTTATAGATTATAATTATCTTCTAAAAATTGGAAAACGATTGTATTGTAAACAATAATAACTGATTTACTCTAAATTTGCTGTGAAAGGCATTTCATTTTAAAGTTATAAATTTTAGCTCGTTATTATTTCATTATAAATGAAAAATAAAATATTTCCAATTTAAATTCAATGATTCTATTATTTAAATTAAACTAAAGATTCTTCTCAGTCATATATTGGTAAATTAATTTTAAATTTCCTGGCATTTGATTTTCTGAAAAATTAAAATTACAAGATGGGTATTCTAATAAGGCAAAATAATATTCCCCTTTGTTCTTGTATTTCTAATGATATTAATATATGTAAATCAAGGCTTATTAGGTTGTATGTTTTAAATATTTGTATTTATTCTTTGAATAGAATTTAATATACTTAATTCTAAAGGATAAAACACTTATTTTATTGATTTGGTTTATTTTTAATTTTATTAATTTAGGAGAATTGTTTAAAACAACTAATAATTAAATAATTTATATTTAAAAGATATGATTATATATTCACAAAAAAAGTATAATAGTTAATTTTGAAGAATTATTAATAAGATTCTTCATTTTGACTTACAAGCTGAGGTTCTTTTCCTTTAATTGAAACAATTCATATATTTTATTCAAAATGTTACATATGTATCTATTGAATTAACAAAGATTAACTTTGAGAGCTATAATTCGAAAAATAACACTTATAGTGACAATTTTTGATTGATATAAATGCATACCTGGTAATTATAATTTAAATATATCTAATAAATATAGTCATAATAAAAAGATGTAAAAACTAAAGAGAATCAAACAAGGCTATTATAAATATATTTTAAATCAAATTAAGGATTTTTAAATAATCAATTGATGATTCTTTGAAGAAGATGTATAAATAAATATAAAAATAATTTCTGATTTAAAAAAAATAAGAAATAAGAATTTGAATGGTAATTAAATTATTTTGAAAATATAATGGTCTCATTAAGAAAATACTCTTAGGATAAGAAGCTCCGTAGGCTGAATTAGCCAAATATATGATTTAGACATAATAGGAGTAAAAAAAAAGATTATATCGGTGATGAGGTTTTAAGGAAACTGATTATATCATTTAGAATTATCGATATCTGATCAACTGATGACACGGTCTCTAAAGTGCAGAGATGGTTTTCGCCTCTTGGTTTCGAAAGTACTTAACATTTAACTGCAAACATCAAGAATATAATGAAAAAATAAAGATAATGCCGAAATATTTTTATTGTGTGATTAAGCATCTTATCAAGCCTCGAAAGCCTTTGCATTTTTAACAATTTTTAGCAGTCTAAACCTATTACAATCGAATTTCCGAAATTTCATCCATTGATCTTCGAACAATATTTATGATTTTATTCATCTGAGAACAGCTTGACTAAATAATGGAAAAATAATATAGAATCTAAGGCGAGATTGATATGATCCTATAAGACATAGAGAAATGGAATGAGAATCAATAATGCCTAGCAAAAATATAAATCCCATAAAGCATGCTAGGGCCTATGACGACCTAAATAAGTGGTATTTAGAAAGAATTAACTAGCAATAATATCAATCAAAAGTAGATTTTGCTAATGGGCTAGGAACTTAAATTATTATTGGGAGACCCTTTTAAGACTCAGAAAAGAAATAAGAAAAATGCAACAATATCGCTTATAAGACGCCTATAACTATATTGATATATTGATAGAGAATTGCTGTACTACATGCTAGAGAACAGATAAANCTCTAAATTTGCTGTGAAAGGCATTTCATTTTAAAGTTGTAAATTTTAGCTCGTTATTATTTCATTATAAATGAATAATAAAATATTTCCAATTTAAATTCAATGATTCTATTAGTTAAATTAAACTAAAGATTCTTCTCAGTCATATATTGGTAAATTAATTTTAAATTTCCTGGCATTTGATTTTCTGAAAAATTAAAATTACAAGATGGGTATTCTAATAAGGCAAAATAATATTCCCCTTTGTTCTAGTATTTCTAATGATATTAATATATGTAAATCAAGGCTTATTAGGTTGTATGTTTTAAACTTTTGTATTTATTCTTTGAATAGAATTTAATATACTTAATTCTAAAGGATAAAACACTTATTTTATTGATTTGGTTTATTTTTAATTTTATTAATTTAGGAGAATTGTTTAAAACAACTAATAATTAAATAATTTATATTTAAAAGATATGATTATATATTCACAAAAAAAGTATAATAGTTAATTTTGAAGAATTATTAATAAGATTCTTCATTTTGACTTACAAGCTGAGGTTCTTTTCCTTTAATTGAAACAATTCATATATTTTATTCAAAATGTTACATATGTATCTATTGAATTAACAAAGATTAACTTTGAGAGCTATAATTCGAAAAATAACACTTATAGTGACAATTTTTGATTGATATAAATGCATACCTGGTAATTATAATTTAAATATATCTAATAAATATAGTCATAATAAAAAGATGTAAAAACTAAAGAGAATCAAACAAGGCTATTATAAATATATTTTAAATCAAATTAAGGATTTTTAAATAATCAATTGATGATTCTTTGAAGAAGATGTATAAATAAATATAAAAATAATTTCTGATTTAAAAAAAATAAGAAATAAGAATTTGAATGGTAATTAAATTATTTTGAAAATATAATGTTCTCATTAAGAAAATACTCTTAGGATAAGAAGCTCCGTAGGCTGAATTAGCCAAATATATGATTTAGACATAATAGGAGTAAAAAAAAAGATTATATCGGTGATGAGGTTTTAAGGAAACTGATTATATCATTTAGAATTATCGATATCTGATCAACTGATGACACGGTCTCTAAAGTGCAGAGATGGTTTTCGCCTCTTGGTTTCGAAAGTACTTAACATTTTAACTGCAAACATCAAGAATATAATGAAAAAATAAAGATAATGCCGAAATATTTTTATTGTGTGATTAAGCATCTTATCAAGCCTCGAAAGCCTTTGCATTTTTAACAATTTTTAGCAGTCTAAACCTATTACAATCGAATTTCCGAAATTTCATCCATTGATCTTCGAACAATATTTATGATTTTATTCATCTGAGAACAGCTTGACTAAATAATGGAAAAATAATATAGAATCTAAGGCGAGATTGATATGATCCTATAAGACATAGAGAAATGGAATGAGAATCAATAATGCCTAGTAAAAATATAAATCCCATAAAGCATGCTAGGGCCTATGACGACCTAAATAAGTGGTATTTAGAAAGAATTAACTAGCAATAATATCAATCAAAAGTAGATTTTGCTAATGGGCTAGGAACTTAAATTATTATTGGGAGACCCTTTTAAGACTCAGAAAAGAAATAAGAAAAATGCAACAATATCGCTTATAAGACGCCTATAACTATATTGATATATTGATAGAGAATTGCTGTACTACATGCTAGAGAACAGATAAAACTTAGTGAATAATTTGGACATTCTATTCAATGTCTACGATGACTTGTACATCTTTGATCCAATTAATTCTAAAAAGGGAAGATCAAGAATGGAGTGTATCAAGACTCAACCCGAAATCTTCTATTCAACATCTTTTTAACAACTTTATTAACATGAAAAAAGAGGAAATTAAGAAGGAAATGTAAATATCCCCCCCCCAAAAATGAAAATGAGAAGAAGATTATTAGAAGAAGGAGTGATACTAAGATGTACAATACACAAATATAAAAGAGAATGACAATATAGTGTTCTACTTAGTTTTGGTTAGAAAGATCTTACCATTCAGAGTACTTACTAAAATTTGGATCTTATTGCGCTACTAATAATTAATTTTTAGAACCTGTCAATTTGGTTACAAAGTAAATCAACCATTCTATAATGGCAAATTATTAAAAGAAATACTTTCAGAAGGGAATCAGTGTCTTAAGACTAAACAAGAGCTTTCTTAAAAGATAATCGATAAGATTGTAGGGAGTTGAACATGACTCTCGAGAAAAGATACCAGAGAAGTATATCTAAAGTGAGATCTTTAGAAGACACCTCTATAGAGATGATTATAGAGGAAAGGAAGAGGTATTATAATGAAGAGGAAATACCATTATTGCTATTTTGAAACTTTAAAAGATTATCTTGGGTAGTAATTATAAAGAATCTAAGATCAATGGAAGAATATGATCAATTATACTAAGAATTCCTTGAAAGAAACTAGGTGTATGGCAAAGGAATACTGGGTTATATTCGATTGATAAAAAACTAATGAATGAGGAATAAGTGGAGGAAATGGAAGAAGTGCATATCAAAGTTAGGAGAATTTCTGGATATTATTTCTTTGATATGTTTAAATATAGATGGAGAAAATGTGAATACATGGGAAAACAGATTATTATGGAAAATTGGGAAGTTGGATTGATATCTAGAGAAAATCTTAGGCTATTTAGAAAACTTAGGAGAGAAATTTATGCTAAAACTGGACTGCATCATTCATTATTTTGATTAGAAATATCCCACTAGCTATAACCAAAGGAAAGGAAGTTATGTCTTATTTATGATCCTGGATCCATATCAAATACATTTGATCCGTGAAGTCTCTATTTTTTAGTAGTGAGACTGTAGAAAATAGTAATAGTATCATAAATAATAATGCTGATGAATTATGTAATTTTTATGACATTTTGTATAGGTTTAAAAAATCTTCTTTAAATGTTTCATCCTGTTCAGGCAATTCAAGGTAGAAAAAAGAATTATTAATTTCATTAAATGCATTAAAAAAAATCTGTTAAGAAGCCTTTTTTTAAAGTGATATATTTTGGAATTAGTTTTAAAGGCAAAACCATATTAATTAGAAAGCACTTCTTAAAGTAAGTCAGTCTATCACTGTTGACTAATAAAAGTAAATATAATTGTTTAGAATAATATTTTAAGGTTTACGTTTCAAAACGTTTCAATAATATTTAAACTTTTTCAGGAAAGTTAAGCTCAAGTGATCTTATCTCTCAAATGTTAGATGATTTATTAAGAGTCTTGATTGAAAAATGGTGAGGAAACTTCGTTTCTTACTATTATTCCATTTGCAAAAAAAAATACTATTTTCTTCAGGTTAATTATATTACGTTATTGAAAAATCTTGATAATATCTTTTATGAGCTAACTCCTATGAGGAATCTAATGCTTAATTTTGGAAAAAAATCAAATCTATTAAATAAGAATAAACTAAGAAATAGTAAACATATCAAAAAAAAAAAGTTAACACAAATCAATTTAAAAAATTTAGAATTTATCGCACTAAGCAAATAGGATCGCGCTTTAATACCATAAGAACCTTAGAAACCATAACCTAATTTCTTTCAAAGAATATTAACTAATCATTTCAGTAAATTTATCTTAATTTAACTCTAAATTCTAACAGTTCTCTTGGCAATAAAGTAGAAATATTTCTCAAAATAAATACTTAATACCATTTCAAAAATGAACCTGAGCATAAATAAATAAAGGATATCCCATAATGTTTCATTCATTGCTAATTACCCAATAATACTTTCTCTAGCAAACAGATATCTAGGATTATTTTGTAAAAACTAATGTTGAATCTAAAAAGATGTTACAATTCTAATTTAATGGCATTTACTTTTGAGAATTTATCCAATTATAATAATCAGATAAGATTTAATCTTGTTTGTATGAGTATAAGAATTAAATTATATAAGATTGTTGTATTAGAGCGAATAAACTTTCAAACTTAATAGTTGCACATTGTAATGGATATAAATTGAATTTATAAAAGAATTGCATTTATCCAATTAAAGTTAATGATTTTAAATTTTAAATGATATTAACATCTTAAAAATTTAATTTGTAATATTTTGAAATGAACCATTGTGCACTGATAATAATCACTCAATTATAATGAAATAATCAAAAAATACAAATGAGTGAATCTGGCACAATGAGGCAGATTTCTTGGATAAAAAGCAATAAGTCTATTATATGATACATAATTATGAGTTTATGTGAGTGATTTTAAATTTATCCATTCTAATTTTGAAAGAAATTCAGCAGATTTTAGTCATTTGATTTGTTCAATTTATATTACTTATACATGATAATTTATTTCAATTCTCCACTATCAATTTGGAATATTATTCAATATTTTCACTTTTGATTAATTATAAACGAAGACACATGGATATAATTCTTATGATATGGATGTCTCTATTTCTAGCTACTAATAATAGTTTGATAGTTACAACAGTTGCTTATGAACTATTCTATCTCGTCCATTTAATATACTTATGTTCAATACTTACTTCAATTATTATTACATCGTTAGTTGTAAAACTGAATGATAATTTTTTAGAATTTACATCCTTATTATGATGAGAGTAAGTATGACCATCATCACGTATCAAATATGATCTATTATGATTTGATTTAATACCCATACCCAACCCCTGAATTTTAGTAATTATTTTTTTATATAATATCTCTGAAGCCTATTCCAACACGAAAGTTAGTTCCACTGATCATTTTGAATGCAAACAGTGTTTTCCCATTCTTTGGAATTGCTTATTCACAAAGACAATAAAACTAGCTATCGCCACTATACTCAACAACTTTTCCACCTTCAGTTACTTAACAATTTGCACCCTTATATGTATTAGAAAATAATAAAGTTATAGGATATTGCTTGATCTAGGAGTAATAAAATATTGAAATAGAATACTTATTCTAATTCTAATTTAGATTGTTTTTCTTTTTCTAATATTTCTTGATTAATCTAATCAAATTGTCTTTAAACTTTTTGAAACTCTAACTCCTTTTGATTGATTCTTTTAGTCATTTCTTCAATTTATTTGTTTGCTAAGTGTAATTAGAAAATGATTACTTTGATCTTCTAAAGTCTTAATAATCTGTAATTTATCCTCTTCATTTTATTTCTTAAGATTTGTTATTTCTTAAATTTTTTGATTAATTAACTCTTTGAAATTTGCGTTTTCTTTTTCTATTGATTATAATTTTGCAATTAACTCATCGATTTAGTTTTAATCTATAAAATTAAATTAGAAATACTCTTATTTTATTATTCCTTTAATAATTTTTAATATTCCTACTAATTTTCATCTAATTACTTGGACATTTGGTTTAATTAATTAGTTTCTATATATTGATTTATAAAATTACTATCAATTGTTATATTTTTATTGATTTCTGTTAATTTTAGTAGATCTTCTTCCAATTATTGAATATTACAATATTTCTTAATCTATTTATTGTTATTATCAAATAAATTAATATAGTTATTCAATACTTTGGATAGAGTCTAATATAATTATTAACCTAATCTTTAGTTTAATTCAAAATTTTTTATTAAATTTATTCAATTTTATTAGTATGCTATTAAAATAGAGAGACAGTCTAATCAAATAAGTTTATTTAACATTAATATTTTTTAGCCTACTCAATTAATTCAGAGATATCCTTAATAAATTCAATCTAATTTTGATTATTTTCATCATTTGTCTAAGTACATTTAGAAATTTAAGAGACTATATCTGATAATTATAAAATTTAATTTTTCTTCTCTAATAAATATATAATTACATTAATACTTGTTATTTCTTTAAGTATATCTATTGATTATTGGATATCTAATTAATCAAATAATTTTAATGATTCNACGTATCAAATATGATCTATTATGATTTGATTTAATACCCATACCCAACCCCTGAATTTTAGTAATTATTTTTTTATATAATATCTCTGAAGCCTATTCCAACACGAAAGTTAGTTCCACTGATCATTTTGAATGCAAACAGTGTTTTCCCATTCTTTGGAATTGCTTATTCACAAAGACAATAAAACTAGCTATCGCCACTATACTCAACAACTTTTCCACCTTCAGTTACTTAACAATTTGCACCCTTATATGTATTAGAAAATAATAAAGTTATAGGATATTGCTTAATCTAAGAGTAATAAAATATTGAAATAGAATACTTATTCTAATTCTAATTTAGATTGTTTTTCTTTTTCTAATATTTCTTGATTAATCTAATCAAATTGTCTTTAAACTTTTTGAAACTCTAACTCCTTTTGATTGATTCTTTTAGTCATTTCTTCAATTTATTTGTTTGCTAAGTGTAATTAGAAAATGATTACTTTGATCTTCTAAAGTCTTAATAATCTGTAATTTATCCTCTTCATTTTATTTCTTAAGATTTGTTATTTCTTAAATTTTTTTATTAATTAACTCTTTGAAATTTGCGTTTTCTTTTTCTATTGATTATAATTTTGCAATTAACTCATCGATTTAGTTTTAATCTATAAAATTAAATTAGAAATACTCTTATTTTATTATTCCTTTAATAATTTTTAATATTCCTACTAATTTTCATCTAATTACTTGGACATTTGGTTTAATTAATTAGTTTCTATATATTGATTTATAAAATTACTATCAATTGTTATATTTTTATTGATTTCTGTTAATTTTAGTAGATCTTCTTCCAATTATTGAATATTACAATATTTCTTAATCTATTTATTGTTATTATCAAATAAATTAATATAGTTATTCAATACTTTGGATAGAGTCTAATATAATTATTAACCTAATCTTTAGTTTAATTCAAAATTTTTTATTAAATTTATTCAATTTTATTAGTATGCTATTAAAATAGAGAGACAGTCTAATCAAATAAGTTTATTTAACATTAATATTTTTTAGCCTACTCAATTAATTCAGAGATATCCTTAATAAATTCAATCTAATTTTGATTATTTTCATCATTTGTCTATGTACATTTAGAAATTTAAGAGACTATATCTGATAATTATAAAATTTAATTTTTCTTCTCTAATATATATATAATTACATTAATACTTGTTATTTCTTTAAGTATATCTATTGATTATTGGATATCTAATTAATCAAATAATTTTAATGATTCTAAATGATTTTCAATTTCTTTCTGGAAAATCGAATCTTTATTTTTTAAGCTTGTTAAATCTTAATTTTAACTTACGTCTTCTTTTTCAATTAATTATCTTAAATCTATTAATAATTATTCATCTTCTAAAGACTATATTGAAATCCTTTTAATTTAATTAGAATTTTTGCTTTTGTTAATAGATTAGAATTATTCTGAGATTAACTTATCACTAATTTCATTTAATTTCTAATTATAATTTTTTCTCATTTGAGCAATTTAATTGAATAAATCATATCTTTTTTGTGTATTTTCCTATTTATACTATAAAAATATGTTTGAAGATTATGAATTGTAATCAATCCATTATTTATTAACATTTTGAATTGTTTAATATTTAATTTATGGATTATCAGATATACAATCAACACAAACAAATCTATCTTCAATTTTCTTATTTTAAGAATCCATATCAATCATAATAATTTCCTTTTTATGATTTATACAAACTCTACTTAAACTAGGTGTTCTCTATTAATTAATAATGAAATATTACAGATTCATTATTTGTTTATAATAATGGTTATAATTCAATAACATTATTATCAATTAAATCTTCAATTGTTTATTTTGTACTTTTAAATGTATCTTAAGTCTAAAAATATTCAGCATTATTAAATAATAATTCAAATTATCTTGTTAATTAATCGATAAAAGAGTTGTCTTCTATTAATTTAGTTGATTTCTACATATTTGAAGAATAGAATTCTGATAATTATTTTATATCTTCAAAATAATTGAATTGATATTAAATTTCTTGTAATTCTTATTTTTCCTTTTAAATTGGAAAGATATATTATTATATTTACTTATACATCTTCTCTAAAGAATCATCTATCGTTCTTTTAAAATCCATTATTTAATCTAAAATATTCTTATAATAGTTTAGTCTTGTTTGATTCTCTTTAATCTTTATTTCTTATTATTAAGTCTTCATTTATGTTATTCTTTCTTTTGATTACTCAATTGTTGTCACTTTATTATTATTTAATTTATCAACTAAACATTTACCACAAAAAAACTTAATCTATGATTTATCTGACATGTCCAAGTCAACAGCAATAAATTCCAAATTGTGAATTTTACATGTTGTCTCTAAACCGTCTTAACTTTATTTCGATTGCAAAATATTCATATTATTTAATTATATTAATATCAATATATGAGATATTTTCTAATAAAGATCAATTAATAAAACATCTAAAATAACAACTTGATATAGATAAAAATACAACTTGTAACCCTATTTGCCACAATTAGAATATGTAATTAAAACACAGTTGACAAATTGATTGAAGTTTGCATTTGGAGGAAGTGCTGAAATTACATCTTCAGATATGATCACATTTTCAATGAAATAACTTGCAAAATGAGAGATTCAATTAGAAATCATCATGAAGCATTTTTTAAACAACAAAGACTTTAATAGATTATGATATT